AGGAGAGGAGAGGAGAGGAGAGGAGAGGAGAGGAGAGCTTAGAAATAGTAAATTTCAATTTGGAGTGATGGTGTTCGTGTTCCCAAGTCACTTTCAGTGTGATGGGGCCCTCCTCTCCTGGAGATGGCTGAATTCCTGCTTTCCCACGGGAAGCAGTGAATTAATTCTCTGTTTTGCTTTGTTTGTGGGCACAGCTTTAGTTTTCCTATTAAACTGTCTTTGTCTCAACCCACAAATTTCCCCTTTGATTGTCTCCCCAGCCTCTCCAGTGGGGGTTTGGGTGATGGCTGGGGTTAGGCCACAACAGGTATATAACACATACAGGAAAAAACAATGGAAAAATACAACAAATAATTCCTCTACTTTTTCTATCATCACTGCTTTGGAGTGGTGTGCAATAATGCCTATCATGGGCTTGGCAAAATCAAGGTCTCCTCTGGTACTGAGGCAACTGAGAAAAGGAATTTGCATTTTTTTGGGAAGATACAAGAAATCTGGTTTTCCTTTAGTACCCTTCACAAATCATACAGAAAATAGGATCCAGAGCCCCATATGTTCAGATAGCCAGGAAAGTTTAGTTTTCTATTCCAAACTGTCCATAGGGAGATTTCTACCTTTTTTAATGTGATTGTTTAATTTTAAACTTTTCCCCTTCATTTATGCTTACTCTCCTTTTATCTAGTTTATTGAGGAGTCTTATCTCTTTTCTCCCTTTGTTTTACTTGAAAAGAAAAAAAAAAAACTAGATCACCATATGAATGCACTGTGGTGTAATCTGTTCTCTCTTTTCCCAGCCCAGTAGCACCTTTTTGAATTTTACACCATCCTTCATGAACTCACATTTGTGTATCAAGTGAAAGGTCAGAGATAGTAAAGCTACAAGCAAAGTGAAGTGGATTTTGTAGGAAAGTAAGAGAAATAGGGATGAATCAGTAGAGAAGACATTATTTAGAAGAAACATTGAATAGATACATAATGAAACAGGAGGGGGATGTAATATGGGGGATAATACCATCTCCCCAGGAAAAAAAAAAAAAAAAAAGAAGGTAAAGTAAGAAAGGATAGAAAGGAAAACAATTATGAATAAATTTTGCCTAACTAGTAAACCTAAAAGTATCTGAAAATTCTTGGATTATCTTGAAAATTAAGCCAGAGCAACACATAAATAGAATGTGAAGGGACAGGGCCAAAAAAGAGCTGTGAATTGCTACAAATACATCCAATTATTTAAGACAGTCTTGAAAGCCAGACTGAAATGAAAGTTCCTCTTCAGAATTTTATAGCCTGAATTTATGCACTAATGTGGCCTCATGTAATAGACTTGGCATTACTTTAGTCTTAGCCACAAAAACAGTCACTGGACAGTAAGAACCAAATTATAGGGATGAGTCCTGTAAGCCATATGTGTGTTTGTGAGTATACAATTGTAAATATACAATTTTATACCCACAAGCACACATATGTAACACATGAAGGCAGAAAACCTTGAAGGAAAGACTGAATGAACCCACTGAGTACATAAAGGAACAAAAGAGATGCCTGCAGGTGTCACTTATTTTACTTGAATCAACAGATCTCTATTCCTAGTTACAAATTTATCTTTGGCTTTACAACAGGATATGTACAGAGCATAAGAACTTCTGTCATCACATCCTTTATGTTTCCAGTAAGTACCTCAAAAATAACAAACAAAACATGGTTAAGGAACTTCTGGACATTGAAATTTCAATGAAAAACTAGTTCCTCTGTGTCATGCTCTGTTATATTGACAGTAAAAATTATATGTTGATTAAAAAAAATAATTACAGGAATGGAGGATGTGCATTTTCACATGATGTTACACGGCTACGTGAGCGTGGATAAATACGTGAGTCCAAATCACCATTTTGCAGTAATTTTTGCTGTGTTCCTCAAAAGCAGGTTATTCAGAGCAAGAGATTAGATTTCCTCTAACAATACTTTTCCTCCTGTAGTTTCCTGAGTATGTTTGTTTTACAAGACCAAAGTGATAAATTCAGTACTAAGAAAGCTTTTCATATCTCTTTTTGTTTATATCCCCATTATTTACACTGTCCAATTAAAGGCTAATGAAATCATTACCTTGAGCAAGTAAGCAATTACAACAACCCAAGTCCAAAATTTGTGCAAATACTTAGTAATACTGATAGATATCATTCTGCCTGGAATGTTCTTGGGAAGTAGTAAAAAAAAAAAAAAAAAAGGAAAAACTAAGAATTCTAAGAATTCTAAGAATTCCTCCACACCAGAAATGTAACAAATGACCTTCACTGCTGTAGGGACAACAATGGAAAGCTATTTGCTTTTTTTTTTTTTTTTTTTTTTCTTAAGCTGAGAACAGCAGTGGCCTGTACTTCAAAGTCTGCAGAGAATAAACTGGTTTTATCTGCTAAATTTCAGATCACTTAGATGCAAGGTGCAAGTAAGACCAGCACATTATAAATAGATCTCTTCCTAGTGGCTGTTCTATTAATCAGTATAGATGTTAGAAAAACAGGAATATCATATTTGGAACAGAAAGAAATTGGATTCGTGGTAAAGCAGACCCACATAGTTACTGATTCTCTAAAATTCTTACTTTAGTAGAGATAAATACAGATCATACCAGAGCATCCAGATAGACATTTGTCCATTGGACTTGTTTGGCTTGCTCTCCAGCTAAAACCATTGGTCTTCCCAAAACATCCAGATATTCCTGTTAAAAAGTGTAATGAACTCATCAGAAGGCAATAATTAGATCAAAAAGCACAAGCTATATTAAAATCAACAATAATTAAATAATAAAAATTAAAATATCAGGGGAAAAAAGGAAATAAAAAGTCACCATTATTACAGGAGAAGCATTTATTTACTTCTTAAAAATTGTACCACAAAATAATTAAGTCTTCAGTTTGCAGTATTTACTGAAGAGGTAATTCCTGTATTCCATTCCCAGTCACACAGACCTTACACACTCTTAACCACCACTCTTTTTCCACACACTGAGAATTACAACTATTTTTATTTAATTGCTAATGACATAAAGAAGTTGCAAGCAGATTACAGAACCATCAACCCAGAAGAAAGAGTGGACAATGGAGGGTGAGTGGTGTAACATCTGGGTATGTTAAGTTCCTAGAGCAACAATTTGTGTAACTTCGATTGGAATAACAAAAAATCAGAATTATAAAACCTCTTTTTACTGTCTTTCTTCAGTTTGCGAGTATGGCTAAAGCTGGTGATCTTATGAGATGTCAGGTTTCTGGACTTATTTGGGAGTAGATGCCATCAAACTTTTTTCAGTCATCAACTTTTTCTACTTGTCTGATCTTATTAGAGATATGTCTTGCCAGACACTGTCTGGAAGAGTTTAACAGAATCAAAGGGTTCTTATTCAAGCCAAAAAAGGATTCTTATTTTCTGCCAAAAAATGTCATGCCTGGCCTTGGAAGGACAAAGAACTGCTGCGATATTTCTCTGCTGTTCTGGACATGCGAGTATCTGGACTTTCAGACAACTGAAAAGAATAATTGTTCTTTTACACTGTCCATCTTCAGTTTGGAATTCATAATATAATCTCAGAGTCCTGTGCCTTTGTTTATCTACCTGCAAGTCTGCTAACATGCTCCTACATCCTTTTTGAAGGAAAGAAGTACAATCTCTTCTGAAAGGGTTGGATCCATCCAGGTACCTCTCCTATAAAGCAGGATTGTGGTGCAGCATCCACATCAGTTCAGATGCTCTAGCAGGGCTATCCCCTCACATACATCCACAGCAGTGACAAAAACCCTCTGGGTCATGCAGAAAGCATGGCAGAAGGTGAACTGTGAATGCCTAGACACTTCATTAAAAATTACTGGTTTTATAGAACTTTATCATAAAATTGCTGTTGTGTCTCAGCATCAGAGTTTGAGGGACCATGTAAAACTTGGAGGAAAGCTGAGCCAGAAGCTCAGTCCTTGTGCAGAGGCCTGAAGGACACAGAGCACTTCAGACACACATGGTGTGCCTGTGGTCAGCCTGCTTTGGAGAAGGTGAGGGACCAGTGCTGTGACCAGGACATGAGCTGCTCTGGGCTAGGGTAACAGGGATAATGTTTGAAACTCTTTCTCTGCAACCGCTTAAAATAAAAAGTAGAACATTTTAAGAGAATAATCCCTTTAATGTAGAAGAAAGCCTCAATTTTTTATATTTTCTTAATGTAGTGTATCTTAAAATTTAATTGTTTTTAGCAGAGGTGAAGAGCAAACATATCCAAGAACATATATTACTCCACTTTCTGCGTGTTAAAACTGCATCTGGATTTGGGCAACTCACTTACCTGGGTGTTTATTCTTATGGCTCCAATAGATGGGATTTCATAATAATAACCTAAAATTTGAAACAGAAACAATGCCATTTTACCACAATAGATTGCTGGCCTCTTAATCTTGAGGAATTTCATTTAGCTAATAATTTCTAGTCTAAATTCTATTAGAATTATTATGAATGAAATACTTTTTAGTAGATGCCACCACAATGCATGGCCATATGATGGGTCACCATGTAATTCAGACCAAGGTAGTGACTCTTAAGTAATGACAGTTATAATTTGTTTCTTTTGGCTGTTTTGTTTAAGGCTGAGTTTGTACTCACGAAATCCCAGTTAATATGATGTGCAAGTATATTTAATGTTTATTTTAATATGCTGTGACGGCAACATAATTATAGGCTGAATGCATATAGGAATGTAAAAATAGCTATGGTCTGCCACAAGATTGAATTTATAGTATAAAAATATAAGGCACTCTGTAGAATGAAAAAAAGCTAATAGGTATTTCTGCTACACAGAGAATGCACATCAGAAATGTCTTTATTTAGCACTGATTTTATTGCTCATTTGTTTGGATTAAAAATATTTAAAATACTGTCCATGTAATAAGACTGAAGCCAGGCCCTGAGATCCATCTACAGTCAAAGGAATTTTTAAGTCAGATTGGAAGGAAGAGGCAGAGAATTAGAGAGGTAAACTATTGATATTAGTAATTTCCTTTGCTATACGCAAAATCTTTTAATTTAGGAAAAAGTAAATAAAACTGCTTCCTTGGATGTGCAAACAAATAATCACAGGAATTTTGTACAGAAGATTACAATCATTCTGCTTCAATAATAAGATGACATAGGTGGTTATGCTTTAAACCAGCTGGTCCTCATTTCTTTTAAAACAATGGAGGTCACATGCACACAGTATTTTGAGATACAAAGATGTTAGTTAAAAAAAATCTGTTCAAAACATAAATGTCAATTTTGTGTTATCTGACAATAAAATCTGCTCTTCATGGAGATGTAGTATCTTCTGCATGACTTGTCAGCATGCTGAGGGTTTCATGAGGTTGTGACACATATGTATGCTATTCACCCAGGCTATGGATTCTTCTAGTTTGTTTTGTTTTGTTGTTTTTTCTTTTCTTTCTTTTTTTTTTCTTTCCCTGTATCTATGCCTTTCTCTTGTTTTTGCTTTCTGTTACTCTTCTGCCTGAGCATATCTTTATCTCCTTCCCTGCAAGTCCTAATTTTCAAGACCCTTTGTAATCCAGCTCACCTCTCACCTCTTGCTTCTCACCAATTTGTAAAATAGTTTTACATTTTCATTCAGGCCTGAAAATTGCTGTATTTAAAAAATAAGCAAATGTTTGATAAATTATGTATTTTCTACTTATCTCTGTTTGTTTCTATTATTTCTTTTCTATTTTCTGCTATATCTCCATATCTTATGCTTTGTTGAACTATACTATAAGATATTTGAGACTCAAGTTTATCACATGCCTAAAATGTTTCTGAGTATATTTTTCAAGTAAAAATTTCATGTAGAAAACATTCTGTTTCCTTACTTTCACCTTTTTTACTTTTTCTTTTTGTCCTACATAAAGAAAACAGAATGAAAGTAGAAAATACAAGAAGCTCTCAAAAACTAAGAAATCATAGCAAGAATAATTTTGATATTTTCATTGAAGAAAGGAAAAAAAAAATTAAGTATCTTATCCCTTGTACGTTTTGGAAAAATCCAGAAAGAAATGTAACCAGCCAACTAACCAAACAAAACTCCCTTTGTCCAGACCACTTAATTTAAACCAGCTTTGACTAATTTCTTATCTGTCATCAGTTCCAACTTTACATAGATGGCTGTTACAACAAATATTCTCAAAACTGAACCATAATGGCTTATTATTATAAAAACTACTGTGGTATTTTTCATACAATATGAAGTTTTAAATAAAGTAATAAAGAAATAAATATACCAGCTTCTCGTTTACATGTGATTTTTTCACGTATATATTATGTAATAAATTAACTTTTAAAATTTTGATAACAAATATAATAAATTTAAAAACCAAGCTGAAAAATCTGCTGTTTTTAGAGAATAAAGATATCCCCTATCCAAAGCTCTAGTGAAGATCAGTTTAAAAGACAGACACGGTACCTTTATTTTCACAGGCCATCCACTGTATGGGTCCTTTGTCATAATTATGTTGGCCAACAGAAAATGTGAACACACGTACCTGTACAAGTGAAAAACCAATGCATGTAACAACTATTTATCATTTATTAGTTGTGACCTCAAGTGAATGATACCTGGATTTTTCATAAATTTGAATAAATAAGAACACTATGAATTCTCCAGTTTTTGTATCCATAAAAGACATGAGAGATGTAAAAAATAAAAGATTATGGTATTTTGTGTACTCCTATTATTTCTTCCATGATGTAGAATCAAGAAGAATGCTCTTTCACACAACCTTCATACTTCAGAAATCTTACATCGGTGATTGTTCATCAAGTATTTTATTTTTAGGTTCTAAGTTCTAGGGTGGTAATTATAATTCTTCAGCTCTTGTTAAATTAGTTGACAAAACATATCAATATTAGATGCTTAGCAATGGCTTAAAAAGAATATATGTGTGGCTGTAGAATTCCAAGCAATGCAAACCAGGACTTTTTAGGATTCAAAATAGGAAATTTTCAGATACTACACAAAACAATTTCGCTTTTTGCTCAGACTTGGTCTTCTTTATGTAAAACACTAAATTAGTTCAACAGACTTCAACTTCCATACAAAGGTTAAGATTCTGATTTTTCACCTTAAGCTCTTGATATTCATTTAAGTTGTGGGGTTTTTCAGCAAAATTATATTATTTTTACACAATGCTATACTCTAATCTGTCTCAGCAACTGTAAGGAGTTTTGGTTTCCGAAGTTGCCAAAATATCTTCAAGTTTTGGACTAAAAACAGACTTTTCAGCTGAAATTATTTTCCATGCAAATTTTCTGATTTGAATGAGAAAAATTTAAAACCAAAACCTGGTATTGCTTTAAAAATATTATATACTTACCAGATAGACAGAAAAATTAGAAATACTATTTTTCAGTTTCTAGCCAAACATTTTGCTCTAAATTTGAGTGCTTCTGTTAAAAGCTGGGAAAAGTGTTTTCCCAACAGTTTTAATGAACTGCTCACTATATTCATGTCCCTCTGTTCAAGAGTCAGACACTTTTCCTTTTTAAGCATCTCTTTCTATATTGATCTTTAACTTTACCACTTCAATGTACAAATCATAAACCACAATTTGAAATCAGAATGAAAATTCCTTTCTATAGATTGGATGCTTCAAATGAAAATATATTACAAATAATTTGCATGCAGGCTGTGAGTAAGCAATAAGGTAATGTTTTTGTTAAATATTACACTCTAAATTTGCAGAGACTCCTTGTAAACAACTGATCATTGCTAAGTTTGTTATATGACTATTTATAAAAACTGTTACCATATTATTTAGCATGTGCAATTAGTACCCAAATCTTCACTTCCAAAATAGGAAAAAAGAAAAAAAAAATGGTGTGATATAATCAGAATTCAAGTATTAACCAAGAGCTGTAGGAATGGCTTCACATCATCCATCAGCAGGTAGCAAATGGTGAAACTTTATTAGTGTTGACCCCTGTATGCAAGAAGGGCAAACAAGGCTTTGTGCTGGATGCCATTTTTAATTAACAATATATTTTGATTTGCTTTATCCAACCCCTTTGTTTGTGCAGTTAAAAGGAGAATTAAAGCAACTGATTTAAGTGCTTGTTTTATAGTTGAAGACTACTCCATAGAGGGTCATTCCCCAATAATTATTCATGCCAATTACATTTCTGGTTACACAGACAGGTATAGCAATGATTATGCCTCCATTATGGTAATTTTTTTTTCCTCATAGTTCATATTGATAAAGACAGATGAAAAATACCTTCTATTACCATGAAAATATCAGTATTGACAGTGCAAAAATGACTTTACCTGGCATGTTTACATCTCATTTATTAATACTGTACCACATTTGCCATTCCCCTTTTATTCTTGACATCTTTAAAAAAAAATGACAGCTATAATTCTTCTAATAGATCTTTCTTCTTCTACTTAATTAACATCTATTTTTTCCTTTTCTGATTATCACCATGTTATTTTATATTGGCACCTCTCAGCTCACAAGGTCCCTGCCTCCTGTATTCCTGTTCTGTTTGAATTCACACTGCTCCCAGTCCATTGTCCACTAAATACTTGATTCAGAATAGATTCTTCTCAAAAACTATGGAAAAACCCCACTGATGGTCACTAATTAGATACTTGAGAGACCTGATGTTTCTTTTGGATTAAAAGCTACCAAGTCATGTGGGTTCTCTTGTGTGTGCAGAAAACATATGAGTCAATTAGACTGGACTGTCTCGCATTTGATCTCAAATGTAAAAATGAAACACTGAATTGGATTCAAGTTGCGAAATGCTGTATAATTTAGGGAAAAACAGCAGTGTGTTAAATCTGCAACAAATCTATAAAGAATTTAGAATTTAAATTATTGACAACAAGCAGGAGACAATATATCTGATTTACTGTTCCTTGGATAATTAACAGAGATAAAGAACTGCAATTCTTTATTTTATTTAAATTGAGATTTTAATTGTTACTTGGTTTGGCAAGAGGGTGGGATATTCAAAAGAGTATTCTTTTTCCTATTGCCTCATCTGGAATTGAGTAGGATGACAGACCAGCTGGAAAAATGAGTCAGCAAGTCAAATTAAAAAAGCCAATTTTAGAAAAAAAAAAAAAAAAGCTCTCTGCTAAATTTTCTGTGACAGGACCCAGTCAGCCAAAGTACTGAGATGTACTTTTCTATATGTTTTCCTTATCTCTCCAAAGAAGACAATAGGCTATTGATTAAAAAAAAAACAAACACCAAAAAACCACCAAAAAAACCAACCCTCCTCTCCCCCCAAAAAACCCAAAAAACCAAAACCCCCAAACATTTAATTATTTTTTCATAGGAAATTTATGACTAAGAATAATTTAGGCAACTAGATCAGGCACAATGGGTATGAGCACCTCTCCCTTTGCCTGTCCTTTAAGCTTGGCTTCAACCAAGTGGGTTTCGAGTTGAAGCAAACTGCCAAGTAGTCTTTGATGCCCAGAAGTTGTTTTCCATCACCACTGGTTATTGCTTCTCTCTGCAGCCTCTTGGGTCTGTGTAAACTGCAGTTTCTGGGTGGTTTTGCCATGACATTTCCTCTCCACCACCCTCACTAGGGGATGGATGGACATTTGTGCTCCCCAACCCATTTCCTCGGGAAAGGGCAGCCTTGGCTCAAGGCAAATCTATTTATTCTCTTCATAAAGAAACATAAGTTCCAAGGCAGTAAAATTAATGGAAAAATTAGATAAACAAATACGAGCTGTCATGCTTTCTGATTTTCAATGGAACTATTAAAAGTAAAGTTCTTCTAGAAAACTTCAACCCCTAGATTTGAGCAGAACTAGAGATGGGCACCAGCCTGCCCTGACAGCCCATCCAGGCACTGTCTTGAAAATGTTCTGAAATAGAGAAGTCCTAACTTTTAGCAAAGGAGTTGAAAACGAATCCTCTGCATTTTCCTCACTGAGACTAACCTTAGAGAGAGAGAGAAAAAAAAATCTTTGTTATAATAATTTACAGTATATAGAGGACTATACTAATTAGCAACAAATGTGAGTGGCACAGGCTGCCCAGTGAGGTTGTAAATTTGCCTCCCTGGAGGTTTTAAACACCAGATTGGATTTGGCCCTGAGCGACCTGGCCTGATCTTAGACCTGATATTGAACTAGAGACCTCTGCAAGTCACTTGCAACCTGGCTTATCCTAGGAACCTGTGAAGGACAGCAAAGGAATACATGCAAAAATCCAACTCCTAAACAGAGCAAATAACAGATAGAAAAGAATTCTACAAAAACAGAGGAAAATGTACTTTACTGAAGAAAATATAATTGTAGAATTATAAAATTAATTTCCTATTTGTTTGCATTTCTTTCTGGTGGAATAAGATCATAAGCACCAAGGTGAATAAAAAATTTTGACTGCTACAGATTTTTTGGGACAATGGCACTCAAGAGAGTTGTGGTGAAGACAAAAATGAAGGGGTATCTATGAAAAGGCTGCTTTCCCTACAGATCTCATTTGCTCTTTATGTATTCTATTTCTTCATTTTGGTATTGGACTAAACAAATTAAATGCTTCCTTTGGGTATATCATGTTATGAGTATTACAAAAAATTAAGTCTGGACTGAAGTTAATTCAAAGGGGTAATTAAACACAATGCACTTGCTATTTAGGGTACTGACTGTATGTGTAGACAATGTAGATTCCTTGAATCACTGAATGTTTTGGCTGGAAGAGAAATTAAAGGTCATCTCATTCTAACTCCCCTGTTTGGCCTAAAAGCACTGCACCCACTCTGCATACCCCTTAGAGTGGAAGAAATGCACATTTTCTGACAGATAAATTATTTGACTTGAATTCTGTGCTACTGGAATGAGAGAGCTCTCAATAATAATTTTTGTGCATCTCTTCACTCCTCTGTTTATGAAAAGATTAATTGACTTTTGGAGATATATATGTTTATTTTACCAGATACCAAGAGAGCTACACATTTAATTCACTTAGTTGGATTCTACTTCATGCAGGCAAGATGAATTCTGTCATTTTATGCCTAGCATGTAAAGAGTGCATCTCTCTGTACCACTAAATAAAAAAAACTGACTATGACCAAAAACTGAGCTCATCAAATCATTCAAATTTAGTTTTCTTGACGGCTGTAAGATTTCAGAACATTTTACTCTGGCCTTTATAGCTGCAGGTAAAGATTCACAGATAATCATTTTTACTACAGGAAAACTGTGATAAAGGGAAATAAATAATTCAGTAATTCCAGTATGACCCAGGGAATTATCTTTCCCAGTAATGGGTTTACAGATTATCAGAGATGAGGAAAAATTGTTTGCAGTTTATATTTAATAGGTACACTTCTGAAATAAAAGGACAACATAAGAAGCCTTGCATTCTGAATAAAACCATAAAACTGCTCTTCTATTTTCCATTATGCATTCTGTCTTCTAAATCCCTTGTAAGTATAGCTTGTAAATCACTTAGTCAGTTTTGTGTTTTGTGCTGTAGGCCATAGAGATGTTATGTAGTTTTCAAGCTGCCCCAGC